CCAATTTGGAGCCCGTTTCACAGATTCACTTTATATTAAAAGGTCCAAGTAATTTTCTTGACAAACACAATGAATAACGAATGTATGATATAAAATTCGGATTGAGGAGGGCATCTCGTCATGCGTCCCCACCGACGTGTTTGTCTCTCTTAATTCTGTGTGTTTTTGCTAATTGAGTCCCTCTACCACCTGAGCATTCACGTTTTACACGAGCTCCTTTCGTTTATCATTTAGCTGCGACTAATGAACGAAGGAATATGTGCTTTTAAATTACTTTGACTATTGCAATGTTTCTTTACTTCGCAGTGAAATTCAATCAACTCCAAATTCAACATAAGGCGCAAGATTTATGATCGACACAAATCGAATTCGCTAACAAACAATATCGTATTCGAGGCGGTACGTAGGATACGATACGAGTATATCAATATTGCAGGCGCTATTAATACGTCCGTCTCATGAGCGGCGGGAGGGCCCCGCCCCCTCCCCACAGCCGCACTCGCCGCTCTTAATTGAATGAGGAGCGGGAATTGTTTCCCAAAATGAAACAATTAATTGTGCAACGGCTATTCCGCCTTACATGGATAATACGTTCGTTTATGGCCTCCTAACGCGGCTGCACGGCGTCCTTTATTGGACCGACTCTAGGAATTTGTGTTTATTGGCGCTTGTATTCAAAATTTAATCGCAAATATATAAGAAGCGACCCTATGTTGCGCTCGGATGGAAAAAATTGCAGCTGCACCCATTCGATTGTCTAAAACGATTTTGGTTAAAATATTTTTACGGAAAAATAGCACTTTACATTGCACGGTTTTTCTCGACACCGCAGGCAACCTTTTAGTTTGAATTGCTTCGTTTAAAATTTTCATGGTCAGGTCATATCACATATAATGCTGTTATATCGTGTTGAAATTCAGCGAAACACGCGAACATGTGGCGCATTCAACTTGAAGACGCATCGTAAACCGCCTTTACGCCTTTCAGCGAGAGCCTCTCAAAACTTTTCATATTCCCCGACCGTAAAACACGCCAAAAAATACGACCAGCCAAAAACATTGTAAATGCTTCCAGGTTATCGGCGTAGCCAGCTATTACCGGCGGCGAATTAGTTTTAAACATAGTTTTAACGGTTGTTGTTGCACCCGAAACTACCTGTTTTTCCGCTTTAGCGCTCGCCTTGCAAAACGATTATGCGACTGGCGCAAAAATAAAACAAGCCAATTAAGCTTAAAAGAAAATACAAGATATTAGTTATTCGTGTGTGGTTGAGTTTCATTGCTACATAGGGAGATGAGAAGCGCTGTAAATGTACGGTTCAGTGCAGTGTATCACTAATCACTAAAACGTCTCAATTAAACATAATAAATTCCCACACAGCGACCAATTCTACTATCACTCGCATTACAGCTGAACGTATGACGCGCACTAGTGTTCTCCGCTCCCCGTACGGACGGGGTGGTCGTGCACACTACGGGGCACACATTCAATTTGCTATTTATCTGGAAATGGATCTAAGTCATTACTTAGCTGAGCGAGAGAAATGAGATAGAATGCAGCGGAAATTACACATTGTGCTACAACATTCATTGCTACGTTGACAATTATTACTAATTCCGTTCCTTTTTGTTATCGCTAACTCTTATTTAATACTTCTTTAAATAATCATAATTAAATATAAGTGACTGCTCTATGCAACGCTTTCTCATAAGATATATATCATAGAGTTAATCTAAATGGTCTGACGAAATATATTTAATGACAATTACAAATCGCCCTAACCAAATTTAAAACAACAAGACGTACTGTTGTTATAGGCTAAAAGGTGATAGTATTATTGATTAAAATAATTCTATACCTATAAAATATTTTATTAGAATTAAATAAATAAAAAAAATAATAAAAAAAGGCCTTTTTATTTCTTGTAAGAGTAACACGAGTAAACAAACAATTAATTGAAAAAAGAAAATAGTACAGTAATAAATAAGTGTATATATTGTTTTTGTTTTTTTTTTAATTAAGTATGTTAGTCTTTTTCTTTAATGAGCAAAAAAAGTAAATAATGCTTAATCATAATGTTATATTTAATTATTACCTGCAAGAACCCTTCCGCACGTGAAGGCCTCCTCCAAAGAGTTTTTTGAAGTATATTTGAATTATAAATAACTAAATAAGATTTTTTTATTAATAACATAAATAAACAAAGAAACTAAATATCATTTTAATTCTAATAAATATCTTCGTATAATTTGAGTAATGACGTTTTTTAATTAATTACAGTAATGTCATGTTACACGTAGCATACATTTGTTTGCAAGGCTCACGATGCGAGCGCGGCGCGTCCATTAAAACGTTCCCTATGAAAAGAAGTCATTAAGTATGCGCATATAAATATTTCCAGCACTTAGGCATGTTTTCAGTGATAGCTAATTTCGGGAAAAAAGGATAGCTCGCGGGCGGGCGCTCAATCACAGGAAGTGCGCCATCTCATCGCGGAAGTGGTTTCTCGTGTCGTCTCACTCTCACTCGCTTCGGCTGTTTTGTAAACTTGCACTGTTAATGGACGCGTACGTCTACTTGATGGGCCCCGATCGAATGCATTTCACTAAATGGGAAACGCTAGGACCACGCCGAATTCAATCTTCGAAATAACGTTCCGTGTATCTGTGAAAATGAAAACTAATATGAGATTTTTTAGATGAGTGTTCATTTTCTTGTGTTGTTTTTTTTTTTAATTTAATTTCAATAAACTGTATTAAACTATATTGGACCTTTAAAGGAAACCGTAAACAAAGAAACAAAGATATATAACTTGATCGATTTTTATTATTTTTCCATTTCGATGAAGTATATTATTATAATTAATTTTATTTTATAAATTCAAACTTTATTTCCACATTTATACGCTAATTAAATAATATTTCTGTAAAAATGAAAACTACTAACTTAAAAGGCTAAAACTGATGTAGGGAAAATTCAGTCTACATAACGGTAGTACGAGGTGCCTAGTTCACCATAAAAACGACGCATTTTCCAAATTAAAATTACCGAAAAGGAAATATGCGGGAATATGAGTGAAAATTCTTTTAAACGAAACCTGACATGAGTAGACGAGAGCGCTCGATTAAAATGAATCACAACGGTGCTAATTGGGCCGCCCGGCTCATCCAATTAGCTGCGACTTAGAAACCCCTGGCCGCAAGCCGCTGTAATCTACCGCCCCGTGAGCCCTCTAGGATTCTAGTGACTCGCTAGTCACGTGCTTCATACCAGCTTTTCTACTAGGTTATTAAGATAATTAAAATCCCAAATGATAATTAGAAACTTATGAGAATTCCGGACATATTTCTTGACTATTTAAATTAACACATTTATGTATTCGCAACCTACGGTCGAATGTTATTAATATAAATAATATTTATCATACACTTGTTATGGGCCATATCTACAGACTGTTTTATGAGAAGTCTAATATCATTAAAACAAATAATTGCTAAGACTAAAACTCACAATTTCGGCTGTGAATTTAATTTGAGAAATTTATTTGGAATGAATAGGCTCAGTTGTTTAGACAAGAAGTGATAACGACTCCCGTTGAGACTTCGCGACATCTTTAATGATATCGAAGTCGGTAGGCGCGGGTTCGCGTGCGCAATTCTTGTTATATCTTTATTACAAAGGAGTGTCTCATTAATTTGGCAGCCCCTCAGAGTTGAGAGTTGACGAACCCTTGACCTCGTTCGCGAGAGCCCACGACACTGAACCGCTTCGAAATGAAATGGTGACGCACCTTGCGATACATAATTAATGATCCTCATTACTGCGTTACAAATATAACAGCTTGAGTCCTGTCTCTGAGGACTTTCGCTATCGTCATTTACTTTGCACGCCTGAATCCTTTCGTTCAAACGAACGGCAATAGGATATAAGTTAGATCATTCGACAAGCGCAACGATGCTTCGAGTTCCAAAACTAGACAATTCCTATTATCTTTAATAGCCGTAAGAGTTTTAAAATGGCTCAGATACAAAACTTATTTCGTTCAGGAAGTGCCATGTAGAGTACGAACCCGGAGGAACTTCGATATTGAATGTCGCATTTTATTGGACAAATTCGATAATCACAAAGTGCAACTCGCGTAAAAGAAGATGCGAGTGGTGGGATCGTCGTGTTAGCTCTGCCTAGTACGCTTATAGTATACGAAGACAGGTAATTTGTAGAGAATTTAGCGTAAAGAGGCTAATGAACAAGACCGGACTCCCGTGTCCGCGGACTCGTGCATTTTTAATGGCTCACGCTGGTACACTCACTATTAATATTTACCGAACACGTCAAGAGGGTGCACTTTACCTTTTAGTTAACTAGCGTCCGGCCGTTCATTAAATTTTCACGCGCGTCAGTTTCGGGGGAATTTTCCGCAGCGATGACCGGGCGGGCGCGGCGTCCGATAACGAGCGCGGACCGGCTCGTTACCGTGCCGGGCCCGCGCCCGCACCGCACCCGACCAAATTTTATTAATAATAAACTGTAACCGAAACGCCCACTTTGAAGTAAGAGAGCAACTTCAACGGTAACGAGTATCGAGAATTATAATACATCACAATCCTTTGACGATCTAACTTACCTACATAGTTACCTTAAAGTTATGTTATAGGTAAATTAAAGCAATCATGTATGCAAATGCTAGTGATTTTTTGAGAATTTTACGCATGATTAAATTTTAGCCATTTTATTACAAAATTCTCTGAAATATTTATTTCATTGTATTTTCCTCAGTAGTAATATTTTTTCGATTGAACGATTTAAATATGAATATCACAATACAAGACGTATTAGATCAGTTCACATTCTGCACATAAAATGTAAATTATGTTCATATTAAGAAAGTAAATAATTATAAAGTTTTCAAGTTTGAACCTTTTGGTATGTCAAATCCTTCAGCTAAGGCTGACAGATGATTAATGCGTACCACTCGCGTGCCGCATCCGCATGAATAAGGAATGAGCGCGCGCGCACGCGACGGTCTAACTGCCGCCGCGCACGCGACGCCCCACCCTTATTTATTGCCCCACCCCGCACTATCACTCGTATCTGGCCGCTTCGTATCTCCGCTGAAACACAATAAGTTTCAGGATATTTATAAGGTAGAGATACATGTTAATCAGTTCATTTACAGAAAACGCTATTAAATAACATTGCCTACGACTCGATGTTACTCGCGTGTTAAGATTGTGGCAATATGGGTCACATTTTCCTCCCTTCTGTACATCTTACTGCATAGATATGATAAATTATTGGAATAGTCATAATAGTTTGCAATCTTTCGAATATTAATACTTTCTTAGATTTACGCGAATATTTGACATTTTAAATAAAACTATCTTTTCGGATTGTTTTGCAGATTTACATGTTTTGATTTTTGTTTCCCGACGTTTCGAATACTTTATAGCGCACATGGTCACGGAGAGACTAAGGTTTTAGACGTCTCAAAGGCATTATATAGTTGTTATAATTTGAAAGATTATTGGAAAAATGTATGACAAGGGTCTTAAGCAAAGAAGTGTGCATAGGTCGTTAGCATTATATTTTCTATGTCTAACCTCGCAAAAGATATAGCGTGACTCGATTGTTTAATATTAAAGGAATTTTCAAATTTGCCAAACTTAGATATAAAAGTTGGTCCTAACGTAACGCATAATATACCACAGTTCAATTGTTTGCGGACCGCTCAACTATTAAATTATTTAGGCGGTTTCGCATTGTGTCGCGAAGTCTCGGCCGCACGAGGATCCCGCCAATATAAACAGTCGTTAGTGTTGTTACAATCGAATACGAATGTCCCGAGCGTGGGTATCGCTGGCAATCGTTTTGTTCTTTAGAGTGACTGCACACATGGCCCAAGAAACGATTTCAAACTTATCTTTTTATGTTAATGTAAAAATTATAATACAATATCCGTAACTTACATCCTTTTTAAAATTTCTTCTTTATGTTACTTATTTCTATCAACTTTTTTTTAACTCTATTCAGGTTACCAAATTTCAACTTTAATTTTCTCACCTTAACATTCCCATATATACTTATGTATATATGTATATTTAACAATCCAAAATTAATTAAATTCCAACTTAAAACAATAAAATATTCTCACAACAGATGGATATCGCTCCAAAAATTAAAATTATATTCTATAATTGTATATCAAAAAAAACATATCTCCACATAAAAAAAATACTTTGATTTGTTATTCCGATGCCGTGCAAAAGTATAAACCAAGAAATCATTTCGAATTTATAATATTAGAAGGTACATCTATCTATACATAAAAAATATGACTGTAATAAAATGAAATTTGGATATTTTGTTTATATCTGGTGTACAAGGTCCCTTACGGTGAGGATGCGTCCCGCAATGTTTGCTCGACTAGTTAATGGAATGCCGATGGACCATTGTACGCGTCGAGACGTTTTCTATTCAACACCGATATTAAATTAAGCGCGTAAGCTGTATACATCCCTATTCCCTAACCAACTTGTTAATGCAAACTGTTATAGTAAATCAATTAACTTGTGATTCAGTGCCTTTGTTACTCTGTACGTGTACGTAATTTAAGTCCTTTATTATATTGCAATGATTAATATAGCACTTAGCGGTTATTGTGTTGAAAGATTAGAAAAAACTTTGGTTATTTAATTTAGTAATAAAAAAAAAGTTATTATAATTATATGAAACAAAACTGATGTAGTAGTCTTCGCATACTAGGGTATTTTTCTATTCTTTTATTTCGTGGCTTCTAGGAGCAAGGGTATTTTTAAAATAATCCGCTTCAGAAGTAGTTAGGACGTTTTTGTTTCCCTTCATTTATTTTAAGTTTGTTTTATTTTAAGACATCCTTATGTTTCAGTCGAATAATGTCAATTGTCATGTATCAACATCCACGCTCTCGTATTGCATATTATTAGTCAGGACATATTGCGTATAATACTGAGTAAATGCAATGGTAATGAATTCAAATTTAAAAAGAGTATTAAAATAGCTTTTGCAATATAAATGAATATGACTCTTATGTAACCGTTGAACGTAGCTACGTTTTATAGCTTCATTAGTAGCGAGCTGCAATTTGTAAAGTTCGAGGGATTCGACCCCGTCTTGGACTGCTGTTGATTGCTCGATAATGATTGCCACACGATACAGCAACCTCCTGATACACGTCATGTATTGTTTTTGTAATTACAATAAATTTTATGTGTATTTTGATTACTAGGTACATGTAATATCTCAATACCATATTTTTTATTTCAGTAACATTAAAATTTTAAGATAATTTTTAAAATAATATGTAATAGGCCAATTATATGACAGACTAATATCAAATAAAAATTGTACTTTTCCGGTTTTAGTTTTGTGATCCTCAATACCATTTGTAAAATACCAACTAGCAGAACCCGCGGCTTTGCTCGCGTGAAAACTACAAAATAATCTCTAAAAAGCTAGTTTCATACAAACTTTCATTCCCTATTTTACTCCCTTATGGGATGAATTTCGAAAAATGCTAAAACATGTATTTATTTAATTTTATTGAAGAGCATTAATACCAAGTTTTAAGTAATTCTGATAAAAAGGGAGACTGGAGAGTTACATAGGCTATGTCACTCTCCAGCCGTCTGACACTCCGTTTCGACGTGAAAGAAGGACAAACAAACAAACACACTTTCACATTTATAATATTAGTATGGAAGTATGGAATAACTAGAAAGTATGGTTTAAAATTGTTTATTAAATTTAAGATAGCAACGAAGGGTACTAGAAATATAATAGGCACAATTATATAATTTAACAAAAGATGCCGTAATAAGCAGAACAATAAAGAATATTTGCCTTAGTAGCACTAAAGTACGTGGAGTTCGGGGTCTTCGGGGATCTGTAACTGGCTCAACTAACAAATTCAATTAGGCGTGTAATGAAAATTGCTTACTTTGTTTACTTATTATAAGTATATGTGTAGTACTTTGTTATAGTTAAGTAATTGTTAAAAAATTTACCCTCCTTTCCTGACATTATTTCAGTCGTATATACGTACGCTTATATGCTCTTGTATTATAATTGGATATATTTGATGTAATGATCCATAGAAATATCTTTACTATATTATACCTATTAAAATACATTTTAATAAAAATCGTAACACTTTATAAAATTGACAGAAAATAAAATATTACGGACGTTGTAATATTTAAAGTAAGATACAGTTAGGTAAGTAATTTCATTTTGAAATTAAAAGACAAAGCAGCCGAAAACAATAAAGGTTAAACGACTAACCAATCATTTGTATAAATGTAAACATTCTATTCTTGCCATTTTCAATTTTTACAGTTTTACAGTGGCCTTTTCAATTTAAATTGTTATTCAACACAATAATTATATAATTACAATTATTGCTCGCGTCGCTTCCGTTTGCACATAGAATAGCGCACATTCAGTCGTACAAGTTTCAGTACCTCGTACTAGTTTGAAACGCAATTGTTTCGGCAACTACGACAGCCGAGCCCGCGGCGGTTCGACCACGACAATACGTCGCCTCCACAAATATTATGCATGTTTAATTACCACCACTCCTAATTCATAATCCGACAGTGATAAATTAGACTCGGTCCGCCTGTAATTAGGTACGCAATTATCGCGGCCCGTTTGAATTCATTACTGCCGAAAGTACTAGCGTGATTTATTACGAGTCGTGTCTTACCGATAATTAATATCGCGTTACACGTGCGATATCGACCCCCATATACTTGTTTATCAATCACACGCCAGCCGCTTCCGGTACACTTTTAACCTGCACTGGTGTAATATAATTAATCAGCCCCGAGATCCTAGTGTTCGATGCTATTATTAGGTAATAAGCGGTGAGATTTCCGTAGCCACGCGGTATTGGAAACCCTATACGGCTATTTAATTTACCTAACCGCCCGAGCCGCGCCACCTGTCTCGATGGCGAAACAATTGCCGAGGGCCTAATTATATTTTAATCGTAACATGCCCCCTGACCCCCGGCACGGCGGAGACGACCGAGGCCGGGGAACACAACGCCACTAATTCATTTGTGTTATGAGCCCAGTCCAGCGCGCCGCCTCCGGCGATTGTTTATTCTCATAGGAGAGTTTAGGTCTCCTAAAGCAATACCGACGCTTAAACATATTAACTAAAGCGTTTACGTAAAGGGTTTAATTATGCAGTATACACTTTACCGTGGGCACAATAGCGCCAAGTTAATTAAACCGTATATATTGTTTTGAAGGTATGACGTTCTTCCAAAATAACATTATGGACGTGCCTTTTTTTAAGCCAGTCTTGCATGATATAAAGCTGATTATCCGTGGCTGAGAATATGTAGGCAATATTACTTGCACTAACTTGCGCAGAGTTCATCAAGTGCAATAAATATTAAAGTTACAATATCATTGTTAGAACACTCCGTATAAGAGCGCAGCTGTTTCCGCGAACTATTGCCAATTGTGTGGAGACCTTTGTTCGCAGCATTAACTATGAAAGTGTTATTATAGTGTAGAACCAATCCGCGTTTCAATCAAAAATATATTCTAACCTATAAATCGTACTTGAAATACAATAATTTTCTTATACGAATTGAGCGCTCCGTAAGAATGACTATAAAGTTTAAAAGAAGTATAATCGAACTGACCGCGGCTTAGAACGTTAGCCTGTTACGCTATAATCAATTTCTCAGGACATGTGTGAAAAATGGAAGCCAACAGCTGTTGCAACTATGATATATAACCGGCTAAACGGTGTACCTTGAGACGTATCGACAATAATTAGAAACGTGAAAAACAATCACCAGACATTAATCACTTCAAGACATTTATATGAAAACAAGCTATTTATTTCTTCATAGGTCACGAATAATTCAACGTGTTTAATTAATTAAATATTATACATACTCATCTAATAGTAAAATGCTATATAAAAACTCCAAAAGCGACTTACCCTTACCTTACGCTTCGCTCGGGTTCATCCCTAGTTACGTTATAATGTTTAGTATAGATTTATCAGAGGTGAGATATTTTCTCGCAGTAAAAAGTATTCTATATGTTAACCCGGATAACCAGCTGTCATCATACCAAATTTTATCAAAATCTATTCAGTGGTTTTCTCGAGATGCAGTCACAGACAGACATACAAAAATTCTTAAAACTATAGATTCGGCCTCTGTATCGATAACAATCACTATTTCAATAAGTTTAAAATATTTAATATACAGATTCGACTGAGAATTTATTTATTATATGTATAGATTAAAATATTGTGATTTCATACAGTCGTGTTTGAAGTTATGGTTACGGTAGAATTTTTGATTTAGTTTAATGTTTATTGCATGTATAAGAAAGTTGTAGTGAAGCCGTGGCGGTGGTGTAGCGACGGACGTGTTATACGACTTAGCACTAAACGGCTTGCTCCTGCGCCCACTCTGCATTAGCCTGAAAGCCTCCAAGAGGGAGGGGGCACTGCGCATTGGCCATTAGCGTGATTAGAGAACCCGGCGCCACTCGCGAATTCTTTAGGCCTCTCATCTCATAATACTGCCTACATATTTTATTACTTATGTAAGCTCTGTTTTACTTCAATGTACTCTAACAGTGATTTCATCCATCAGTCTTTTCACGTACCCAATGGCTTCTAATATTCATTATATTTCGTTAATTATATAATTACTTAATATATATTTAACTCAAACATTTTTTATCTTTTAAACGTTATATTTCCATGAATGTATTATGTCTCAGAAAACTAGATTTGAAGTTTTAAATATTATTTCTTATCTTTTCAGATGATGGCGTGTTCATATTTGAGCACTGCAGGAGTGAAGCCAGAGCGGCCGATGGCTGGATGCTGGACGCCACCTTATTCTCTACCGGCGCCTGAACCCAGTCAGATGACATCGTTTGTCCGACCGTCCATAGCACCAGTGGAGGTACCAAGCGTCCCCGAGCCCGCGCTCGACCTCACGACCACCCTCAAGCCTCGTGCACACTCGTCTAGTGACGATGACTCAGAGTGAAGTGTTGTGCGACAGACAATCGAACTATTCACCGGCTAAAGTAAATTATTACTAGCGGCAAATCTACTTAATTAGTCTCAACGAATGTGCGGTCAGTAATAATTCGCGAGCCTTTGTTGTGTTATTCTCGGTACACCCGCCACCGTAGCTTATCCGCGTACACCACTATAGGAAGCGACGCGTCGTAATAAATACTATAGTTCTATACACTACGTCGTATAACTACGCTGGCGGTTGTACCCATTAAATATTTAATTTCGGTTGTGAAAATGGCAATTTATGTAAAACTTACTCGCAGCTATGTAAATTTCCTTACAATTCTGAATACTTAAAGAGTTAATGTGAATGGGATGTGTTAAACACAAGTGCGTTTTCTATTTATAAAGTGATAATGTAAATGAGAAACTTAAATGGCATATCTTAAACAATTATGTGATTTAAGGAAGTAATATTAGAGCTCCTTACAAAGAATAATTAAGTCGCAAACGAAATAGTATAGTGGGACAGGGATTTTATCGACTTTTTGCCCTTTAGAGCACTTATTGTAATCATAAAAATTTACAATAAACTTCATGTATTGTTAACTGATATTCGTATTATTTGATCTAAAAATACTCTTACCGTTTGGCTGGAAATATACATTCCTCTTAAATCGCATCAACACGATCAAACTATAGAACAATATTTATTTATAATAATTCTATATAAAAATGCAAATCACACATAATATTCTCAGCTGGATTTCAAATAAGAAGTACCTACCTACCAATTTTTGTATAAGTAAATACAACGAAATTGTAATCAACTATTGCTTATTTATAACTTTCCAGTACAAGTAAAGTGCATAAAAATACTAATTCTTGCCAAAATGTACCTATTATGTATTAACGTTATTTAATTCTACAAAATTTTTCGCACGCATGCTCTGTGATTTGCAAACTTTGTAAATATCTCGATTAATTGTTATTTCGTTTATAATCGACGAGCTGTTACTTAATCTTCTAATAGCCCGTTTAATAATGATTGAAATTGTATATATTAGCCTAAAACCTAGATGTAAGTAGACACTTGTACCTAAAGTTTAGGCGCAATCTTAGCAATAATTTTGATGCCAACATCTTCGACGTTTTAACTCTGGTTACTTATGTCTCTGTATATACTCTACATGTCTATCATAAACTGAATTAAATGTATGTACACAATAAACGATCGGATTCTAGATTACATATGTTTTTTTTTTTTTGTATCTTTTGTAATAATAAATAAATAGACCAATTAATTGCCTTTACGAATAATTTTATCGAGAATTTAGAAATTTATTTTTGGACACTGTATAGTATTCTCATATTCTATATATTTTATTATTATTATTATTCTGTGTTAAAAGCTATTTCATTTGTTTCAAAATCAAATTATTTTATTAATGAAATAACTTAGATCCAATAACAAAACTTGTAGAATTTATTAATTCTATAATAAAATTTGGAACTTCTGCTAGTATGATTATAAAACTCGAATTAATCCTGATCGTAATCTAGAAACCGATTAAATATGTAAGTAATCTTAAACGCTAACATTCCTTTCCTTAATAAATTAGGTAAGACAAATTTTTCATGTTATAAATTATCATCAATAAATGTCAATGTTATATGTAACGACATATATAAATGCAAATTAATTATCGATATTAATACAAAATATCTTTAATTATTATCATAGTAGCGTAAAACAATATAATTTAAACGATACATGACATGTTCGTTAAAAATGTTAGCGTTTAGTGAATCTTGCCATTTATCCGTGTATTTAATTACAAAAAATTGTCCAGACGTAATAACTGGAGCATTTAAGACCACATTTTAGTCATGGAAATAGTTTGTTTGAGTTTTTATCCTTAAGAAGCATAAAGAAAACATATTTTTGTTGTAAGACTACCTCTAAAACGATCATATGAAAGATATATCTAATATAACATATCTATCTATTTATAAATAGGTACATATATCTGGCAAAATCGTCGCCAACACGTGGATGTGTTTGAGCGTTCGGTTAGTACTTATTAAACAGATTATATTATCAACACCTCCAGGTAAATTTCTAAGAAATCTATCGTTAAATATAACGCCGGCGTGTCTGCGGTCGTGGAGGGATTAATTTCTTCCTTGAAAAGTTTTCTACTATCTTCTACGATGCCATAACATGTTGATGTGTATGCAGAATGATCGAGAGAGATTTTCCTATGTATAGTTTAATTTAAAGTTCTATGTGGCTTTGCTTTAACAAAACGTCTAGACAATTTTTTTGTAAATGACAATTGTGGTGTTACCGTTACTCAAAAAGTAAAACATTACATCCTTATAGCCTAAGATATGGGGACAGGAGGAGAAATTAAATTTTGTAAATTAATATGGTCGTTTTACTTCTTCCTTCCCTTCAAAAATTCTAAGTTTCAATATTTATTTATTTATTTATAAGTTCACAAAACTGATATACAGATGAAATAAACAAGCTTAATTATAATTATTCTAAATTATAAATATAATGAATTTAATATAATTTCTCAATAATTAAGTAGGTACTCATTTCTCATATAAAGACGTATTTTTATAAATTTAATAGGTCAATATCACCATATATTTAAAATAAAAATAATTTATTTTGTCAGAACGGAACGTATATTATAAAAATATTGTCAACAGATAAAATATAAAATTTCAACAAACGATAAGTTAGCTTCGAACAGTATTAAATATCCCTTTAACAATGTCGTTATATGAGCCTTTACTTTCCGTCCAAATGAGCGACTAAATTGTTTAACTTGTTTAATGAAAGCATAAAAAACAAAATTAATTTTATTGTAATTTAATGCTGAGTTACAGTAATGGTTTTTGAAAAAATCCAATTTCATTGCATTGAGTTAAGAGGCAAGAAACCAGATGGCTACTGTTTAAAATTGCAAATTGAATGATTATGTAAACAAGCCTTTTCGATGTCTTTTTTCCCCGCCTCATGACAAAATTAGTGGCGGAGATGTTTAATTAGTATTCAAAAATATTTCAATGTCCTTCGTTTAGAACCAAAAGAGAATGCTGAATGAAATTGCTGTTTTTAATCGAATGCCTTCCTTCTCAGAATATATATATTTTGTTTGTTTTTATTTATTATTTGTATATATTAATCGAAATTTATTTTAAAATATACCCAAAAATAACATTAATAATTGAATTAATAGTATAAAAAATATTTTAAAACACAACAAAATCGAAAGTGCATAATATTTAACACCATTCAGACAAAAAAAGACAATAGCATTCCCAAGGAGGGTTGACGTCAGGCAGGCGGCCGGTCGTAAAACTTTTGCCAAATCCTATCAGCAGTACACTGAAGATGTACTGCGCCGACCCCAAGTGATTTGGGAAATGGGCAGGGAGAAGAAGATTTGTATATATTTATGGATTATTTTAATATATACAAAATATAGTATATAAAGAAAATCAAACTCGGTGGTGCTGGTCGTGTATGTAGGAGGTATTATAATGCAGATGCTGTTCACAATTCAGTGGTACAGCATTCGGACACATTCGCAATGCGGATGGCTTCATAGGCCTAATTCCGAGATGTTTAAGACCGAAAATGTCTTGAGACAAAATCCCAATAACTCTTAAGACCTCATCATTTACGACTATTATTAGCTAGTCAGTGGACCGACACAACGGTTAATAATAAATAATATAAAGAAATCAGTTAAAAGCGAGTGAGGTGACGTCACTTAAGCAAAGTTTTTACGTGTAGTGTAAAAGAGAGTAGAGAGTAGAATCAATGATGTTTTATGTTACTTATTGTTCTTAACAAGCGTTTTATTGAAGTTATATTATGAGATTATATGTAAATTATTAATCTATTTTTTTATACCAACATAGTTTTCCCATTTTTTTAATTATTATTTTAAGAAATTATCGTTTCTTTTATTTTAGTTAAAAACTTTAAAATATTTCATGAAAACCTTTAAAAGGTCGCAATATTTACAATACCGTGATTTCCCATAAATAATATCATATTATAATACATGCTATGTTTGTGCGAAATATGTACATTCGAGCGCACTTTACGCGTATTGAACATGAGTTTTGGACATAGTGACTACAATTGGATTAACTCATTGTCCGCGTATCGTTGGGGAAAATCATCGTACCGTAAAAAGTATTTGTCACAATAAATTCAGTAGAATGATTCCGGTCGATTCGATTTTGACGTATCTCCGCAGTTAGTTCTATTTGTTTGTAAAAAAAATCAAACCTAAAAAATCTTACTCAGAGCGTGCACAATCAGTGCGTTGGTATACTGGATTTCAATAGAACTCATTAACCGGCTTCCGATGCCAAAAAGCCGCGAGCTTTGTGAGAATTTATCCGCCGGCAGGACCAATTACGCAGTCATGCTTCCTTCCTGACAGGCAGCATCAAATATGTACTGGGAGCTGTGGCAGAAAAAATGACGAAAACAGACGCGAAAATGGCGCGAGTCCTGACTGACGTGTGGACTATGAATGAATGATGGCCACCGAGCGCCGGTGACTAATCAATAGCGTCGCCTGCAGGCGATCCTGCAAAATTCACGCAGTAATAGCCAAAAACCAGCCTAAATCTCGGCCTGAACCGACACTAAAACGGAATCCGTGTCCACGTAAGTGCATTCTCACGGCTGCAAATACCTAAAAAGTAAAAATTGTTACTCATCATTAAATAAATAATATTAAACATTTTATTAGTGTGTACTAAAGTAAAAATCCTAAGATACAATTTTATTGATATATCTATTTGGTTTTCATTTTATGAAATGGTTTTATTTAAGTCAAATAACTTTAAATTACTTGTAACATTAAGTGATTGAGATCAGTCTAAATGTAAACTTAACGGTAGGTGAAATTAATTTCATCAATAAAATTTGAGAGTAAATAAAATAAGAACCTTCCCACTGCAAAAACTCTAACTAGAAAA